TCACAAAATTTAGGCTCTCGTGACTTCTGGAGAATCTTTAATAGTATAAATAATAAGGGCAAGTCTGTAATTCCACCTCTTTTGTACGGTTCAGACTTTGTCACCTCACCTAAAGACAAAGCTGAATTGTTTGCCAAGAACTTTTCATCAATATCATCTCTGGATTCCACTAGTTGTATTCTACCTGAATTAGCCGTCAAACAGGTTGATCCACTGCTCAACATTTATATCACTCCAGCTTCTGTATCTAAAGTGATTTCCTGCATAGACTCTTCTACAGCTTTTGGCCCAGACAACATACCTGTTATAGTCTTGCAGAAGTGTTCTCCGGAGCTGTCTTCTATCCTTTCAAAACTATTTAACACGTGCTTATCAGAGTCTTGTTTTCCAGCCTACTGGAAAGCAGCATCTGTTATCCCTATTTTTAAAAATTTTGAAGAGCGATCTGATTTGTCTAACTACCGTCCCATTAGTCTTCTTCCTATCATAAGCAAGGTTTTTGAATCTTTAATTAACAAACACTTAATCTCTCATCTCGAATCTCATAACCTACTTTCTGATCATCAATATGGATTTCGATCTTCTCGTTCTACGGCTGATTTGTTAACAGTAATAACCGATAGGTTTTATCGCGCATTAGATAAAGGTGGAGAGGTTAAGGCCATCGCTCTTGACATTTCTAAGGCGTTTGATAAAGTTTGGCATGCTGGTCTTCTCCATAAGCTTTCTTCTTACGGTGTATCTGGAAACATCTTTAACTTTCAAAATTTTGACAATTTAAAAAATATATTTTGTAAAACATTTATTTTTGTAAACAAATGATAATAGTTTAAAAGTTTTACGGCTTTACAAATGTGGCTCCAAGAATGAGCCATAATATTAAAGTAATAGTACATTTGATAATATATTCTTAAAAAAATTTATGCTAGATATCTCAAAACGCAACAAATCGTAAATAATACAATTCCTAAATTAATTCAACAGAATACTCTAGAACTTTATTTCGCTTAGTCAGCGTGTTTTTTGAACCAATAGAATTAGTTTTTTCGCAAATTTAGCGGGTTTTTAATGTTCGCAAATATTATTTTTATTCTTCCGCAAGATGTTTTAAGAACATTCAAGTTAATTATGTTTCCATGTATGTCTGTAAAATAAAAATTATTATATATTAATTTTTTAATTTTTAAGCCCCCACCATAATGTATATTGGATGTTATTATCACCTCAATACCAAAAAATACATTATTGAAAATCAGAGAAAAAATGCATTAATTATTTTTTTTTAATATTTACAAAGTAAATTAATGAAAGTGCATTATTATTTAGGTTAAAAATTATTTTATCTAATATTTTGAAAGAAAAACTTATAACAAAAGAAATCAAAATACACGTGGTCTAGACGATTATTTAAAAAAAGTTGCGCAAATAAAATACTATTTTGTTTTTTATTTTATTTTTGTTTTTAATTTTATTTTGTTTTTAATTTTGTTTTACAAACACATTTTAGATCTTTAAAATATAATAAAAATGAATATGATTTGGAAATTGTATGTAAAAAATAACAATCGGTGTTTTAAACAAACAAAAAAAAATCTATGACATCATGCACTAAAACTCCTATGAATTAAACACGTTTGAATAAATTATCAAGTCTGTATAATGCGCCTGGAAAATCGCGTTTATTTTACATACTCAAAATACCAGAGAAAACGGAGAAGACAAGCTTCGACTAAAACAACAAGATTTGTTTTTCTTGGTATACATTTATAAATTAGTTTTAATCAAAAAAAATTTGCTCAGACGTTTTTTTTTAACATTCTCTTTAATATGAACACAACATGTCTCGGGACTTGGTAGTCCCTTTAAAGAAATTTTTTTAAGCGGAATTTTAATGAAGTAATTTACGATTATTTTAACATTTAATAAAGTATTTTAAAAACCGCACACAGATGATATAAAAGTTTTAATTACAAAAAAATTAAATATGCTCATTATTTACAAGTAGAAAAAATTCAGATTAAAAAAAAAGTTTAAATCTTTTTAAGCTAACATTTTAATTAAATAATTCAGCAATAGCAAAGTTGTCGATAAAATTGAACAAAAATACTTTCTTTTAGTTTTAGATTTTTAACTTAAATAATTGTTTTACGGGGGTTTGTTAGGTTTTAAAACTATTCCATAGATTTAAAAATATTTATTAACTGTTAGGCGTGTTTAAAGTATTTAAGAGTAATTTCGAGGAAACATTTTAAAAATTGGTAAGCGCAAACAAAAAATAAATAAATGGATTAATTTTAAAACTTATTTTACTTGATTCAATAAAAAAAGTACAGTTATTAAAATTTTTGTAAAAGGTAACTCAAAAAAAATTGCTTAAATAATAACAATCCCTTTTTTGTTAAAAGTTACCGAAACTCAACGAAGCGTGCTCAAGAAGCGTGCTTAATTCTAGCATTTTATTTTATTTTACTAGAAATAAAATTCCTTGTAAACATTAAAAATCTATTCAAAACGTTCGTTAAAGTTTTTTAGTAATACGAGTGATTGTTTTACAAAAATAAATAAAAATAAATAGATAAAAAAGTATTATATAAAATCGCTGGTAAAAATATTAGCTATTGCAAAGTTTTTAATTGTACAATATTAAAATTTTTCAGTTTATTACTCGCTGACTTTTTAAAAAGAAAAAATAATTATTTGAAAAACTTCAAATTACATATTTAAGAAAAAAAAAATCAAATATTAGCATATTTTATAATCTTTTTTAAATGTTTAGTTATAATGTTTTTTATTCGTTTAGTATAGACAAAACGTGTCAAACGTCGAGAAAATAAACAAATGTTTTTACATTTTAAAAAACGAAACATTCCAAAACATTTTAAAATATTAACATTAATGATTTAAAGTAGTTTTGCAGTAATTAAGTAAATTGGTGCAGTTAATGTCAATAAATATGAAAAGCAAATAAAAAGAATTTAATGAGGTCAAAAATTGCGTCGTGCTTATGCGTCGCGAAGTTTTTATTCATCACAAGGCCTGATATTTTTCCAGATTTTGCGTTTTGCATTCGCTTAATTCAACCCTTGTTATTACATTATTATTGTTGTTACATTAAAATTGTACAAATATATTTTACAAACACATTGCAATTTATATTTTTGCTATCCTCTTAAAAAAAAAAGTTAAAAAAAAAGGAAAATCATTCTTTTTATTTGTAGACTTCAATCTTTTTTTTTTTTTGCTTTGCTTTATCTAATTTTGTTGCTGAATGTAACAATCACTCTAAAGAAACAATAATAAAAACAGTACAAAAATAATTTAAACTACTAATGTGTTTTTATTTTTTTCTATTTTAAATTTTTTTTATTTTGTTAGTTTTGTTTTTTTTGTTTTTGAAACTTTTTCAGCATTGATTATTATAAAACTTGCAAATGGCCATGTTCAAGTTGTCTAAAATAAGATACTCGCGTGTGGTCATAAAAGATGAAAAACCGCACGCCTTTCCTGGGAAGGCTTGTTTATATATTATTCACTTTTTTTGTGGAGTTTTTAATTGTTATAATAATTCTTAAAATCCCTATTACAATAAGAAAATATAAAGCATTTTTTATAAACAATAAAACCTATTATAGCTCTTTGTCAAATATTTTTATCAAATAAGTAATGTTGTTAATAAATAAATGGATAGCTAGTGTGAAAACCCAAAGAAAACACTTGTCTGAAGAATTATTTCATTGTGCAATAAATAACACTAGTTCTGTTATATTAACCTTACAAGCATATGCTTGTAACAAGTTTAAAATCAAATTTTTTAATCAATTAACAAATAGCTTGTGCAAGAACCATAAGCTTTTGTAAGAAGCTGTTTAGAGGAGCAGCTTGCATGGCTTGCCATGTTCATTTTAAGAAAGCTTTTCTCTGCTCTCATTTATTATTCCCACTCATTTACTCCCGTCGATATATATATATATATATATATATATATATATATATATATATATATATATATATATATATATATATATATATATCCTTATAGTGTAGTCGAAAGAGTCGTTTAATGTAAAAAAAGTCTCTTTCGACTACAATTTTAATCACCTCGTCTCTTAAGCTGTTTTTGATTGTCGTCGAAATGTCAAAGCAATTAAATTTATGCGGAAGTACATTAAATTTTATTGTTTTTTTAAAAAACTGCAATTATAACGACTAGAAATTTTTTTTTTATTAGTGGTGTTTTTGTTTTTGTTTTATTAAAAAACATTTTTAAAACATGCGTAAATGTTGACACATCGACTATCTTATAGCCTGACTCGCAACAGAGTGCTGCTACATCGACTGACAAATAGCCTGACTCGCAACAGAGTGCTGCTTCATCGACTGACAAATAGCCTGACTCGCAAGGGAGTGCTGCTACATCAACTGACAAATAGCCTGACTCGCAAGGGAGTGCTGCTACAACGACTGACAAATAGCCTGACTCGCAAGGGAGTGCTGCTACATCGACTGAGGGTTTGGTTTGGGCAGGCAGTCTATCATTTAAAAAAAAAAAAAATTTAATTTTTTAAACTTTTTCTGGTCTGGTTTATTAACGAACTCTTTAAAACTACAGTTTATGGGAAACTCTTTTTCACTACCATGCAAGAGTATATATATATATATATAAATATATGTATATATATATGTATATATATATATATATATATATATATATATATATATATATATATATATATATATGTATATATATGTGTAAATATATATATATATATATATATATATATATATATATATATATATATATATATATATATATATATATAAAAGCAGTAATAATATAAATAAATATTATATGAATATAATAAATTATTATTATTATAATTTTAATAATAATTCTAAATTATTATTATAATATAATAAATATTATATGAAATGATCTTCTAAATATATATTTAGTATTTACTAGTGCAAATTTTATATGATAACATAACATAATATTTTAGATTGATGTCAATAAAAATGGCAGTATTTCTACCAAGGAATTAGGAAGTTGTTTTGCAAAGCTTGGAGAAAATGTTCCTGGATATAGGCTACGTGAAATAGTGCAACAAGTTGATAAAGATAAAAATGGAACAATTGAGCTACAAGAATTTATTGAAGTATATTCAAATATTTTTTCTCTCTAATATATATGCTAATATATATATATATATATATATATATATATATATATATATATATATATATATATATATATATATATATATATATATATATATATATATATATATATATATATATATATATATATATATATATATATATATATAAAATTGCTGATCTCGTTTCTATGTTTTATGGTAAAACCTTTGCAACAAATAATTTTTGTCAACCTGATGTCGACATCTAAAAGATAGAGGTCTATCAATTATATATATATATATATATATATATATATATATATATATATATATATATATATATATATATATATATAATTATTTTTTTAATAAAATAATCAATATATTTTTTTATAATAATATAAAAATATGTAATAATGTTGTATATAACTGAGAACATTTTTTCTTTTAAATTTACTTAGTCACAATTTTTTTTTTTATATATATCTTTTTATTTATTTTCTCGTTTCTGCTGCAAATGTAATCAATAAATGAATGATTTATAGGTAAATTAAAAATTTTCTATAATAGGGCTCTTAAAAATTTATATGTTTAGTAAAATCTCGGTCTATGTAATATTTAGTCATTTATGTAGCATGACTTCATTTTGTAGTCTGATTTCGTTAAACAATTGTCTTCTTAGTATTAATTGTTTTTAAAAAAAGTATATACATCATCAAGTATATACATCATCATCATCATTTTAGTATTAAGTGTTCATTTTAAATTTCTTTAATATTGTAGAAAAATTGTTTTGATATGTAACAAAAAAAATTCAACATTAGATTAATTGGATATTATCAAACTTATTTTTTTAATTAAATGAAAATCTGTGCACGCGAGCGTAATTTTAAACAAATTAGCAGGTAATTTAAACGTTAGTTATTTGCGAGTTTAAACTTTCAAATTACTTATTTTAAAAAGAATATGAGTTTGTTAATTATAAATTAACGAACGTTTTTAATGTTTCAATAATGAAGAACTATTACTTAAATAAAAATTAAAAAAAAAAAATTTGACCTTCAAAAAAAACTATTGACTGTCAATTCCATGTATTAGCCGGTCAAATTGACCGCTTCTCTTCAATTTCTTATTTTCTATGCTGATATATATACAGGCCTCGGCAGGAAGCGAGAGCTTTAGCACTTGCTCTCGCCCACACTCCCCTAAAATGGTTTACGGGAGCAATTTATGGCTCTTGCAAAATTATAATTTTTCTTACAAAAGTATAATAATCGTTGTAACTAAAATAAAAAACAATGTCATTAAAAAAAAATTAATTGCATAATATACTGCAATGCTTTTTAAAAAGCACTGCAGTATATTGTTGCAAAAAAAAATTAAAACAAAAAAACTGCGCTGATTTAAATGATGAGCAGCTCGCACAGCTCCCCAAATTCATTTTAGGAGAGCTTTTCTCCGCTCTCGTGCTCATTTATTCCCGCCGAGGCCTGTATATATATATATATATATATATATATATATATATATATATATATATATATATATATATATATATATATATATATATATATATATATATATATATATATATATATATATATTATATTATTTTATTTATATAATTATGTATTATTTATTTTGTTTTTAAATATTTAATGTAGTATTTTTAATAAAGATTATAAACAATTTATAGATTGATTTTATCAGTTACCAATAAGATATTTGTAAATGTGATTTATGTTCTTAAACGTAGGGCATCAAAAGAATTTTACAAGATATTGAATTAAGAAGAAAATTTGTGAAAAGAATGCTCCTAAAAAAAAAGCAATTTTCCCTTTTTAAAAGAAAAAAGTTTTTCTTTTCTGTTCAGTTATAATAATCTATGATAATCTATGATAATCCATGATGGTGAGACTTTTATTTTACGTAATGAATTAGTTAGGAGACGATTAGAAAAAAACTTTAATTAAAATTGCAAAACTATTTTACATTCATTTTAAACTAAATTTTACATTCAACATTTTTCTATTTTACATTTCTTTAAAACTAAAATTAAATTTTTGTATTATTTTATTAAAATTAAATATTTTTTTTTAAAAAACAATTTATTTCTTTTAAAAATTCTTAATTGCGGTAAGTTTTGTTTTTTACAACCTAATATTTTCTGAATAAACGTCACATAAGTGATGTTAAAAAACAATTTAAATATTCTAAAAAAAAACTTTTCACCTAATTGAATAGGAAGTAATTAAAAATAAGAATCTTTGCAAACCCGGCCCCAGCTTTGGCCCTTGCAAAATTATAAGATACAGCCTCAGCCCAAATTATAGCAGGAGTTGATAGCCGGGGCTAGAAAAAAGCTTATAATACTTTATATATTATAATTTAATTAAAAAGTTTATATATTATAATTTTGTACATTTGCTATTAAGATTAAACTGATTTAATTATCAGCATGTGATCAGGACAGTATCAGGACTTGTATCAGGTATCAGGACTAAATAGTTAAGGTAGCATGGTATTAACATTTAGGTATCAGGACTAAATAGTTAAGGTAGAATGCCCTTTTATTAATGCAAGAAACCAAAGTAAAAATGTCCTGTCTGATGTTAAGCTCTGTTATTCTCAGTTTACTAAACCTTGTATCTTATCTCAGATATTAGGTTCTGAGACTTTTGTAAAGTTTTTAACAGTATCTTTACTAAAGTAAGTCTAACATTTATTCTCTTTTTCATGGGTCTGATCTTTTTACTTCTCCTTCTCCCTAGAATAGGGCAGAGTTATTTAGAAAGAATTTTTCCTATAACTTGACTCTTGAATCTAATGGCCATATTATCCCTGTCATACCAGTTAAACAGATAAAATTATTGTTAAATATCCAAATTACTCTGGCTTCCAATACTAAAGTTAATTCTCAATTAAATATTTCTACAGTTTGTGCTTAAGACAAGATTTCCATCATACTCTTAAAAAAGTGTTCTTCACAACTCTATTTAATTTTTGCTAAACTATTAAAAAGTGCTAAATTAGTGGTTCCAATTTTTAAAAAGAATTTTTTAAAAGAACTACAAACAAGTGATGCATGTTTTGAAACAAATAAAAAGATTTATGCATACCTCATTGTGGAATACAAACTACTGATTATTCAGCCTCAGTTGATTTACAAAGCCTTATTGACCATACTACATACAAATCTATTCTTGTCTTTATACACAAAGTAGGATTTGATGGTTCAACCAGCCAATCATTATACAAACAAAGTACAGAAGGCGAGATAAGTATCAGTTATGTCGAGGAACAATCTTTTTTTTTATCCTGCATTGTTCCAATTAAACTTTATATTGAAGAATCTGGCAAATCACTATGGATAATGAAAAACCATCCTCTACACTTTACTGCTGTCCAGTTCGATTTCAATATGTAAAAGAAAGTGCTGAGGTTATTATGCAAGAATATATTTTCTTTAAGAACAGTAACTTGAAACCAAAAATCTTTAATTCCTTTGTTATCAAACATAAGTTAGAATGCACAATGGTTGATGGAAAAGTGGCTACTATAGTTTCAACTTTAAGTAATTCCTTTCAAGTATGTAGTATTTGTGGACTGACCCTTTCAAATATGAACAATCTAAATGTAGCTTTTTCAAAAATCTATTATACAGTTTCTACTGAGCTTGGATTGAGCACATTACATGCATAAATTAGGTGCTTTGAATGCTGTCTTTATATAAGTTATAGAATTGAATTAGGAAAATGGCAAATTTGAGGAGAGGATGATATAGAAATTGTTAGAAAAAAAAAGATTATTTTTCAACAAAAGATAAAAAATTACTTAAATTAGGTTTATATGTAGATGTACCAAAAAGCAGTGGTTCCAGTACAACAAATGATGAAAAAACGGCACGATAAGTATTCCAAAACTATAAGTTATTCTTTGTGTTTTATTGTGCAAACATCAAGTTAATGCAGATGAACTTGAAAAATATACCAAAGAAACAGCAAAGCTGTACATTTCTCTGTACCCATGGTTTCCAATGCATTAAATTGTACATAAAATTCTAATTCATAATTTTCAAGTTGAACGAGATAAACCAGTACCAGTAGGTCTTCTTTCTGAGGAAGCTCAGGAATGAATGAAGATGTTATACGAAGATTATTGCGCAGTTCAGATCCAATTATTAGCTCACTAGGAAGGAGTTTGAGATGTATTAAAGAACTTAAACTTAACAAAGATTGTATTAAACATTTGTTGTAATTTTTTTAATTTATAGTTTTGAATTTTCACTCTAATTTCTGATAAAATATCTATTAAATAAATGTTTATAAAAAAAATCTTCATGTTGACTACAGTCACTGATAAAAATTTAAATTTAACAACTTTAGAAATAAAGAAATTATAATTTTTTGTCCATTTTATGTCGATCTTGGCCCGCTGTGCTCTGCTATAAGTACACCACTTGGCTGGCAAGGTTATCAAACTTGCTCAACATAATACCAACTCACACCACTTTGAAAACATGGAAATAAACTGGTCTATCCTCATAAACTGGTCTATCCCAATTAGTTTTAAAGATTCTTTTCATGATCTCTAGAAACATGCTCTTTGAATGCTTTAAGCCAACTTGCATCTGAACACACAACATAACAACCTTTTAAATCTTATACTAACTAACAACTATAAAAATATGTTTAATGTAGAAACTATTGCTCCATTCACAACCACCTGTGACCACTGTATGATTCTTTTCAGATGTAATTTAGATAATTCTAAATTCAATAAAAAAACTAACCAAATATAATTTTAACAAAGCTAATTACAACACCGTAAACAATACACACAACCTTACTTAATGTAAATTGGTATATGCTAGCCAAACAAAAACAAGGTGTTGAATCATTTTGGCAAATTATCTGTAATTATTTATTAAATTAATTATTTGAACTCATCTACTTACAACTCATTCCTCCTATTTTTACTCATTATCCTCCATTATTATCAAATTCTTTAAATAATGTAATGCTTTCTTACAATTTTGTTGTGTCAACTCTCCAAAAGCTTCCATTAAAGGCTTCTAAATCTACTGATGGATACCCAACAATATTTTAAAAATTGATTGCAAAGGCTATTCCTCATTCTTTCTGTTTAAATTTTCAATGTCAAAAATGTCATACCTGCAATCTGGCAAGCTGCTATAGAATACCCCATCTTTAAGAAAGAAAAGCCATCTTTAACCACAAACTATTGGCTTATTTTTATGACTTGCATTGTTTTTAAAGTTATGGAGTCAATTATTGTAGAATACTATACAAATTACTTACTAATTAATAAATTTTGTTTCTGTTTATCAGTGTGGTTTTTTAAAGTGCTGACAACCTTAAATAAGTGGACCACTACTGCCAATGATAAAAAGTTGCTGTTGGAGCTAAATCTTTTCCTATATTTTTGGAACAATAAGAGAAACAACATTAGATCTAAAACAAAAGTAGAAGAATGCATTAAAATTAATGTATTATATTATAAACATATAAAATTTTATGACTTTATAATTGTTACTTGTATAATTATTTGAAATTGGGTTAAACTAAAAATTTAAAATCATTTTAGTATAATAAAAACCTGATATGCTTGTTAGTATTAATATAAGAAATTCCTTCTTTTTGCTAAATTTTCTTCACTTCATAAAGAACACATGCTAAATATTTTTGGAGACTATCGCCTATTTCAGCACATTGTGTAGTAAAAAAATCACCAAGAGAACATGAAGCTATACAAACTGAAGAAATGTTTGGAAAATCAGCTTTTAGCATAAGATCTCTGTAATGATAATATTGCAATACAGTTTTTTTAGTTGGCAATAATGTGATAGGTATTGTTCCAATTCTTTTTCCAACAAGAAAAACTTCACAATGAGATATTTTTTTAAAACTGATGCTTGTTGACATTATTTTTATTTACACAAAAAAGAAAATTTTGAAAATGATGGATTTATTTTAACTTAACCCCTCCCCCCCCCTTCACCTCCCAAATATACACAGCATGTACAGTTTCCATCATCTTTTGCAATAAAACAAAAATAATCTAAAATAAGATATATCAGACTACTATACAATATAACACTTAAGATATCTTTGAAATATTTGTAAGTTACCCTTCCCCCCCTTCCTTCCCCCCCCCCCCCCCATCCTTCATTATTTACAAAAATTAGAAATTTGCTGGAACCGACCATAGGTGAACCCATAAAAAAAAAATTATATCATTTTAATACATATATCATAAGGAGCCAGAAAAATTATGGTATTTTTTAAATTGACTTTGGTGTTTTTTGGTGTTATATATATATATATATATATATATATATATATATATATATATATATATATATATATATATATATATATATATATATATATATATATATATATATATATATATATATATATATATATATATATATATATATATATATATATATATATATATATATATATATATATATATATATGTTATCCTAATAAATTAATTAACATAATTTCACATGTTTTATAATTTGTAAATCAATTTTATTATAAGTTTTAAAAATGTGGTTTGGTAAGTCTTCAACCTCTAACTATAACTGCTTTTTATTGCAATTAAAAAAAAAATGCCTAATTACCAGACAGAAACTAGTTTTCTATTGTTTTTCTAAAATTGCAACTATCTGTTCTAATTTTTTAATTCCTAGGTACAAACTTTAAAACTGGTGCACTTTAAGTAATGAAATGATGTTCAAACCACTGCACAACTGCCCCATAATTTGATTTGTTAATATTACTTTTTGTAAATTAATTATCTTTTGATCATAATATTTTGGTTAAATTAGAAAGAAAACTAATTTTTACTGACTGTTTATCAAACTAAAAATTAACTGTTTTTAATGAACTAAAAAGTTATTTGAATATTTTTATTGAGCTAAAAATTCATTTGACTAATTTTAATGAACTAAAAAGTTAGTTGAAATTTGATTTACCATTTTTTTTGTTAGGATTTTTTAAATTTTGTTAGTTTTTTTAATTTTGGTCACAACACTAATATTTGTTGTTTGAATTATTTTGAAATTATTTTTTATTACTTGTTTTAGTTTAATTTCAATTTATAAATCAATAATTTTTGATATTAGTCATATAAAGTATAAAGTAAAATAAAAGCAAACTTAATACTTAAAATAATATGATAAACTTAATATTTTCATTTTGGATTTTTGTCATTCAAATGTTTATATTTTAATAAACATTTCTTTTTTTAGTTATATTGCAGTGTCACTACTAAGGGTGTATTTGGGCAATGGACTTCTAAAATAGTAGCACCCAAAGATTTAACTAAAGTTGGTGGTACATCTGAAGCATCAGCTGATGGTACAGCTCACAGTTCGTCTCATGCAGAGGAAATTGCATTCAAAGACTGGATCAACTCAGAACTTAAAAATGATGTTGATTGTAAAACATTGTTGCCAATCAAATCTGCAGATGAATTATTTGAAAAACTAAGTAATGGTATTATATTCTGGTAAGTCTAACTTATTGTTTTTTATTATTAATTTTTTTACATGCAACTAGACTATCTATAAACGCAACCAGTGTTATGTTATTGCTTCATATTTAGTTAATGTTTTGATATTGTTGTTCTTAAAAATTTACATTGTTTTATTAAGTTAAATAATAAACAGTTGTACAAAAAGGGGTACTATTATGTTTGGAAACTAAAAATCCCCTGAAAAATTCCTTGGAGGTGCAATACTATAGGTATACTTTATATTACTTTAGAGCAAAAATTTATGAATAAAAAAAAATTATGTCTACAGGAGAAAATTGCATTTAAAGTTTTTACCTAGCTACAACAAAAACCTTTATTTTGGAAATATGCTTCCACTGTCAAAAGTCACAGAAAAAACTTATTTAAACTTTAAATGTTACAAATATCACAGACCATTATCCCTAAGGGTCAAAATTAGTTTTTAATTAAGAATTTTTATGCATATTCTAATACTAATAAAAAATCAAAAAAAAATTGAAATTAAAATTTCATTCTTAAACATGGCATTCTTTAACACACAACTTTTTTTCAAAAAGATGTTCATATATTTGTAAATATATACACTGAATAACAAAGCAGCCTAAACCAATCCAAATTATTATTTATTTAATTAAACCAATCCAAATTAGAGAGATTTATAAAAAGATATTCTAACAGCTATAAGTAATCACAAGTAATCAAATATGCTGTTGATATCAATAATGCAACTCAGAAGTTTGCCGAATGAGAAGGTTGTCTTTAATACCTTTGTGAGTGGATCTTTAATTTGGTATGCATCGGTTCAATGACTTGCTCAATATTTTAACATATTGAGCAAGTCATTGAACATCATATTTTAACATATTGAAACTTTCTGAAGCAATCAACAAAAGGCATTGCACAAATCAAGTAATAAACAATAAAATTAATATAATAAATAAATAATAAATGCACAATGTTTTGAGGTAAGTCTCTGAAGAATGGAAACATTATTCAACAGTTTCTTGTATTCATTTCCATTGAACTTTCCCCCATGATAATTTTGCATTTGAAGATGCAAGTGAGCGTTCTTGTACTAGATCCTATATTTCAAAGAGTTTCTTGAAAGAAAGAAAATATAAAATGAAACAAAGAGTTTGATTGAAGTTTCAAAAAAAAAAAGATAGGGTTCCATTATTTCTGTTTTATAAAATTGTAATAAAAACAAAAACAACAATTTTATTAATTTTAATAAATTTTAAATCATTGATTTTAAAATCATTTCAAAATTATTTTTAAAATCTTTCACTGAATTCTAAGCAACATATGTTACACACAGTTGTAAAACTGCCCAGTTTATGAAATGGGTTTGTGTTAATTGTGAAAAAAGGAAAAATTTTGGTTTTATTATTTATAATTTAACATAAAGCATGTAATTGTTAAATTAAGAACAATGAATTTCAGTTTAAAACTTGTCACTAACATATTTAATTTTTTTTTTATTTATGTAAAAAGTCATAATATTATTAATTAAAAACACCAACAAAAAAGTCAAAATATTTCTCTTTATTTAAAATGCTAGCGAAACAGTTAGAAAAATGAAAAATTTTTTTGCACAACTATCTACAAAATCCTTCTGTGTTGTTATTTTTGATCCCTAAAGCACCTGGATCTAGCAAAACTACTGTTTACATGGTCATAAAAGGATTCAAGAGCTCTCTATCTATCGAACGAACAAAAGGATCTGGAACAAAGAGTGGCTTTAAGGATAAGAAAGCAGCAATTAGTATTCGACAGTCATTCATGCAAAATCAATTTTGAACAGAGAATGAGAACTGAGAAAAATCTTGAATGTTTCTATAGATTTTTCGTCATGAAAGTTAAGTCTTACAATTTCAGGTCTAAAATTATTATTAAATATCCACACCGATCAGATAAGCAATTACTGACGGCTAAAGCTGAACTCAAAATTTATAATGAAGTGCTTACAAAATTTAATGGCTGGATAATTATGGATAACAAAGCGTACATCAAATGTTGCTTTAAACAGCTTCCAGGTCCAAAATTTTACACTTCATTTGTTTGTGGGCGTGTCAGCAACAAGTTCAAGTATAAATCAATGGATAAATTTTCCAAGAAACTTCTCTTGTGTCAAGCAATATGCACCTTTGGTTTGGTTTTGTCTCAAGCTTTCGTCACATCATCATCTTTAAACTCGGATCTTTACCTCAAGGAATGCTTGCAAGCTAGAATTTTGCTATTTTATCAAAGTCACAATGTCTCCTCTTGGTTATAGCCTGATCTTGCTTCTTGTCATTATTCTAAGAAGACCATAGAGTAGTACAATTCGAGAGACATCAAGTTCATACCAAAAGGCTTGAATCCACCAAACTGCCAAAAGTTCCATCTCATTAAAAATTTTTGTGAAATTGGCAAAGAATATTTGCACAAGAGTGACAAAACAATAAGCTAAAGATTTTATTCGAGAGTGGACATTAGTAGGAAAAAAAATTGCCAAAGACACTGTGCAGAAGTTGATGTCATTGATTAGTGTAAATGTTTGCCTATTTATTCGAGATATTGAAAAATATTAAAATAAAAGGTATTTTTATAACCTTCAAGTTCCTTAGATTAAAATAAATATTGAAGTTTTTGCATTAGTTTTTTTTTTTTTTTTAATTTTTTGTCGTTCTGAATTTAACAATTGCATGCTTTATTTAACAATTGCATGCTTCATTTATGTTAAAAGAAATTAAGTTTATTAAGATATGTTTTTAAAGAGCTGTCAATAGTTTGAACAAATAAAAAGTTAAAATGAATAAAACTGCAACTAAAGTAAAATAAAATAGAATTATATCAAATAAAAGTACAACCTTGTAAACCGAATAGTTAAAATGTTTGTTTTTTTAATATACAAAATGTTTTGCAATTTAAGTATTTTGTAATATTTTTGTAATAAATGATATATAATTAAATAATGAAAGTATGATATGAAATAAAATTATTTTGTGTAACATTAGCTATCATTTTTTTAATTAAATGAGTAATTACATTAAAAATATAAAAGCATACAAAGTTTTTTTTTACAAAGTGTTAAGTCAAAATTAAGTGTTTTTATTGATTTTAAATTTTCTTTAAATAATTGGAAATAATATTAATGATGCTTTAAAATGAAAATTTTCTACACTCTTCAAATAAATACTTTTTTACAAAGAGAAACTAAAAAAACTAAAAAATTTGATTCATTTATGAAATTATCAAAACATAAATACATACATTTATTTTAATTTTTTTTTTTTTTTAACATCTTCACTTTCAACAAGGCTGCAAGCAACCACTAATTAGAGTTGGAAGTTACTGGAAGAGAAAAGATGAAGATTCTAGAGCAAGATAATTGACAAACGACTTAAAAGATTGCAAATTATATATATCAGGAAAGCAAGATGAAGGAAATTCCAAAGAACTGATGTTATAATTGAATTATAATAAAAAAATACTTTTAGTTTTTTGATGTGATATTAGTTTTTTGAATGTGATTTATTCTGTGGTATTAGTTTAGTTTATAATTTAAAAACAAAATTTTTAAAGTTTTTTCTAAAAGTATAGCATAGATAGATTTTTAAAATTATAGGTTTTTAAAATTTTTTTGGTTATTGAAAAAACAATGCTATTTTCCTTTGCACTAGTTGCAATGAGTTTATACATTTACTACTTTTATTTTGCATTAAAAACAACAGAAAGTTTTCATTCTTGCACTCTTCCTCTCTTCATAAAATAACTTGATCACATGCAAAATAATTGGAAAATATTTTCAGTTATATAATTAAAAAAGTTTATATCATACACAAATACATAAATAATTAGATACATAATAACATAGATAAATAATTTATAATTTTTTTTTAATGTTACAATTTAATGACTTCTATAAATAACTAGCTAATCTTCATTTTATAATTGCAATTTTTGTTATAAACACAAAAATTAAAACAGAAACTTTTATACATATCAACAGTTGTATGAGTAGTGGTTGCCACGAATGTAAAGTAATAACTTGCATGATATTCTCTGAGTGTTTGGTAAATAAGACTCTAAGTGTTTGGTAGTCTAATATATTATGGTATAAATTTACCATTTTTTTGTGTTACTGTCTTTATTTAAAAATTTATATTTGATTTCAGCTGAAATTTTTTACATTTCTTAATATATATTGCCATTTGTGTTTGACTTTATGATATTATATCATTGCAAAAAAATGGTGAAATCTTTCCATTTTGCTCACCTGGCTTGCTTGCTTAAAAAAATGGTCACAGATGTTTCCATTTTATTTAAGCCATGAATCAATCTATGTCCATAAGCCATAAATCAATCTATGTGTCCATAGATTGATTCGTTCTACCACCAGTGTGCCAGCAGACAACTTATTACAACTAATTCTCATTTTTAAGCATTAAGTTTGAAGCCTAATATCTAAACTACTTTAAAATCTGCTTAGGTCACAAGTAATATGTATTTTGAAATCTGCTACTGGTAACACGTAACCCAGTACATCTGCTTCATGTCCTGCTGCCTTGTAGGATACGCCTTTTTAGGCAAAGGCTAGGAGATGCCAACTCCGACATAAAACACCCCCTGCTTTAAGGCTCTTGGTTGAGTGAAGGCTAGAAATAGTGTCTCGATAAAAATACTCATCTTGGACAGATGTTAAATGCATCCGGCTGCTGTCTTGTAGAAGGCCTCCTAGGCAAAGACTTAAGGGGTAAACAGATTCTTTCTTTTGACCAGCCTTGTGTCTCTTCTTCATCTATTAGGCTGGCGCAGATGTATTTTTAATAAATTGTTTCCAGTTTAGGATGTTGAATGCTGGATCTTCCTGACTCGATGCATGGGTTATGCTTGTGTCTCTGTTTTTATGACTAAGCAACTCATTCTATTATCTCCTAAGGAGGGTACAACTCTAAAGCTCTAAACATAAAAAGTTTTATGGTTCTGAGGCCGGCTGGAAGTCAGTTTCCGGAACTCTGTGGTAGCTCTCAGAGAGACTGATTCCATCAACAGCTAAAAAATATCAAAGTATTAACAATGCTATTTTGCGCATGGATGGTGTCTCTGTTTGTACTTTTGGTGTGTATTATTAAGGCCACATTAGAGCCTTTTGTTAAGGCTTAATAGTATATTAAAAAAATCTATTATCTCATTCTTCTTTATCATCAGAATCCCCCTATCATTGTACATCTTACAACTACCTTAAAGCTGACTGGGACTTTTTCCGTGATTTTCTTTGTGATGGTCCTTGTGTAGAAATCTTTCGTCTTGACAAATGTGCTTCTTACATAACTTCGTGGATTCAGGCTGGCATGGAGTCCTTTATTTCCTCTCGACGATTCCAGGTCAAGCCTCACTCTTCTCCATGGTTTTCCTCGTATTGTGCTGCTGCAATTGCTTATCAAAACCATTACTTCCATATCTATCAGCAAAACAATTCTCCAGAAAATAGACGTCTGTTTATTACTGCTAGAAACCATTGTAAAAAGGTTTTGTCTAATACCAAAGCCTGCTATTCTCAGGTCATGAAATTTTGTATTTCATCGCAAGAATTAGGCTCTCGTAACTTCCGGAGAATCTCTAATATTATCAATAATAAGGGCAAATCTGTAATTCCACCTCTCTTATATGGTTCAGACTTTGTCACCTCACCTAAAAACAAAGCTGAATTGTTTGGTAAGAACTTTTCATCAATATCATCTCTTGATTCCACTAGTTGCGTTCTGCCTGATATTGCTGTCAAACAGGTTGATCTATTGCTTGACTTTCATATCACTCCAGCTTCTGTATCTAAAGTGATTTCCTGCTTAGATTCTTCTACAGCTTGTGGTCCAGACAACATATCTGTTATAGTCTTGCAGAAGTGTTCTCCTGAGCTGTCGTATATCCTTTCTATTAAAACTATTCAACAAGTGCTTATCAGAATCTTGTTTTCCAGTAATAACCAAAGGTGGAGAGGTTAAGGCCATCGTTCTTGATATTTCTAAAGCGTTTGATAAAATTTGGCATGCTGGTCTTCTCCATAATCTTTCTTCTTATAGTGTATCTGAAAACATCTTTAAGATTATTGAATCCTTCCTTTCCAATCGTATTAAAAAAGTTGTCCTTGATGGACAGCACTCTTCTTTTTATTCTGTAACCTCAGGGGTTCCTCAAGGTTCAATCCTTGGCCCTATAGTCTTTTTAATTTACATTAACGATCTTCCAGGTTTTCTCACATCTAAGGTGGCATTGTTTGCTGATGATACTACCATTCATTCTTGTCATGATAAGAAGCCAAGTCTCTCTGATTGCTGGGAGGGGGCATTTGAGCTTGAAAAGGACCTAACTTGTGCTACAGCATAGGGCTTACAGTGGCTGGTGAACTTTAATTCAGATAAAACTCAATTTTTTTCAGCCAATTGTTATTGCAATAATTTAGACCTTCCTATATTTATGAACGGTAATGTACTCGATGAGTCATCTACCCTTCATCTTCTTGGATTAACTCTTATATCTGATCTTGGAAACCGTATATTAAATCCGTTGCAAAATTAACATGTGCTAAAGTTGCATCTCTTTATCGAGCTTGACACTTTCTTTTTCTGGATTCTATTCTCTATCTCTATAAGTCTCAAAACCACCCTTGTATAGAATACTGTTGTCATATCTGGGGTGGATCTTCTAATGATGCCGTTTCTCTTTTAGGCAAGGTGCAAAAATGCATTGTAAACATAGTTGGACAATGTGGTAATGGTTGAAGGTTGGCTGTTCTTGCAGCCAACCTTCAACCATTACCACATCGTCGTAATGTTGCTTCTCTTTCTCTTTTCTACAAGTATTATAATGGGCACTGCTCTAAAGAGCTAGCGTCTCTTGTGCTATCTGCTAAAATTTATTCTCATGTTACTCATCATTCAATTAAGTCTCATCCTTTTTTCTGTGACTGTTCCTAAGTGCTCAAAATACTCTTGTTCCTCTAGCTTTTTTCCTTAAACTTAAGTTCTTTGGAATTCGCTTCCTTCATCTTGCTTTCCTGATTCATATAATTTGCAATCTTTTAAGTTGTCTGTCAATCGTTATCTTGCTCTACAATCTTCATCTTTTATTTTCCAGTAACTTCCAACACTAATTAGTGGTTGCTTGCAGCCTTGTTGGTAGCGAAGAGTTTTTTTTAAAAAAAATAAAGGTATTAATGCTTTCAACATCTAAAATCTGTTATATTTAAAAATAATTTCATAATTCATTTATTAGAATAAAATAATTACAACTAACTGTCTGTAAAATACTGGTCTTTACCAAATAGAATATTTCCTATTTCACACCTATCATTTTAAAACTTATTCTTTATTTAAAAATTAATTTTTTGCATGCATTGAGCTTATAAGAGATTTATAAGACTGTTTGTTTTTCTCCTGAACGCCTATCTTCGATAGCTCTGTTTTTTAGTGTTGTTTTGGAGGGTTCAAATCCTCCTCTTACTGTGATAAATCTTGCCGATATATATTTATAGTATGTAGCAAAAAAGACTTTTAATTGTGATATAAATATACACTTATTTAGAGAACTACCTTATATAGAGAACCAGCTTGTTACCATACCTCCGCTTGAAAAGTGTTGATTAATGTCAATTGTTATAAGAGATTTATAAAATCATTTGTTTTTCTATTACATGCATTACTTTGATAACTCAGTGGTTTAATGCGCTTTAATAACAACTCTAATTAGTGGTTGCTTGCAGCCTTGTTGGAAGCGAAGATGTTTAAAAAAAAAAAAATTGGTGCTATTTAGGGAGGGTTTAAATCCACCCCTTGTCAAAAAACATTTTCAATTTTTTCAATCTGGTTGTATACATTTATAAAAATAAGTATTGCAAAAGTAAGTATAGATTTTTTAATGTTAAAATGAAATTTAACTTTTTTTTTTTAGCTGCCGCAATGCGTTACATAATTAAAAGTTTACATAAGTTAAATATTTGCATACACTTTCCTTTTTTTTTAAAAAGTGCTGCATCTCTTTCTCGTTATTAACTTGGGTGTAATGGCTGTCATGAGTTCTGTTGTCAAACACGCATGAATGAGTAACGGCAGCAACATTAAATTCAATATTAATGTATTATAGGATAATTGTGACTCAAATTAATTGTTGATATAATTTATTATAATTGTCTGAAATTCTTTCAAATTTGCATTTTGTTTTACTTGTGTTGTTTCTATCAATTGTTTAAGTATTTAAAAAACAAAATCATACCACCATTGGTTTTATTTCAAAAAAGTAAGCTTATTTTTTATTTCAAAAAGTTAAGCTTATTTTTTATTTCTAAAAGGTAAGATCTCAAAAAGGTAAGCTCTCAAAAAGGTATAGCATATGTAATTATATAAAATCATAATAAAATTAATTTGCAATTACAAAAATAAAATAAAATGAAAAAAGTAAAAAATAAAATTTAAAAAAACTTTATCATTACTACACTTTCATATTTTAATGTTGTTACTCTCTAATAATAATGTGTGTTTAATGAGTTTTTATCTGTGTTCACTTTTTTACAAATAATATGTTTTAATCAATTTTTATTTGTGTTCACTTTTTTACTAATAATATGTTTTAATGAATTTTTATTTGTGTTCACTATTTTAATAATAATATGTTAATTTTTGTTTGTGTTCACTATTTTGCTAATAATATGCTTTTCATTTCTAGCAAAATGATTAACTTAAGTGTGAAAGGTACAATTGACGAACGTGTGATAAACAAAGCAAAACTCAATGCTTTTCTTATTCGTGAAAACAATGCACTTGCTGTTAATTCAGCTAATGCTATTGGTTGTACAGTAGTAAACATTGGTCCTGAGGATATTGCTCAAGGCAAAAGACATTTAGTTCTGGGTTTATTATGGCAAATTATAAGGGTATGTTAACAAAAATTTATTTTACCATATTGTGTGTGTGTGTGTGTGTGTGTGTGTGTGTGTGTATATATATATATATTTATATATATATATATATATATATATATATATGTATATATTTGTTTGTGTGTTTATGTATGTATTTATGTATAAATTTATGGGCATCAGCATCGGCTTAATCTGCCACTTTTAGCACATTCATTATCGGTAATAGCTTTTTTTTTATTGATTTATGGTGTTTTAAAAAAAAATTTAATTTGCCTTATGAAATTAGTTACACACTAAATGAATCTAACTCTCTTTATATATAATATAGGTATACCTTTGATATTAAAGACAAAATTATACAACTTAGTATTTTTAATAGAAAGTTTACTTCAAAATGGCTGCAATCAATGTTTTGTAAGTTGGCAATTAATAGAGAGAAAAGGAGAAAGTTAAATAAGAAAAAAAAAATTGAGAGAAGACTTTTTTTATAAGCCTTATAACTTTTATAAGTTTTTGTCAAAACTTATAAAAGTTATAGGGCTTATAAAAAATTTTTGAGCATGGTTGAACAGTTACAGTAAAAGAATGAAACTTTTCAAAACATATCTGCTAAAGAGTTACGAGCTTTTGCAAAAACAAAAATTTATAAAAAAATATTGAATAAGATTTAAATAAGATATGAAAGTATTTTATACCTTATTTCACGATTTTCTTTATAATTCAAAATCAATATAAATATTTTTTTATGAAATAATAGTGATAAAAACAAAGTTCAGGGTTTTTAATGAAACAAAAAAATTTAAAGCTTATTGAGTTTAATCGCATTGTAAATTATAGTTAATGTTTTTGTTTAAAAATATAAAATGCTAAGAGTTTCATATTTTAATCCAATCAAAACGTGTGTTTTACATTTTAATCCAATTGTAACATATTCCATCCAAATGACTTCAAATTAAGCATTCTGATTGACTTAAAATACATTTTTTTTTTTTTTTTTTCAACATCTACGCTTCCAACAAGCAACCACTAATTAGTGTTGGAAATTACTGGAAGAGAAAAGATGAAGATTGTAGAGCAAGATAACGATTGACAGACGACTTAAAAGATTGCAAATTATATGAATCAGGAAAGCAAGATGAAGGAAGCGAATTCCAAAGAACTGATGTGCGAGGAAAAAAACTAGATGAATAAGAGTTTTTGGAGCACTTAGGAACAGTAACAGAAAAAGGATGAGACTTGATTGAATGACGAGTAACACGAGAATGAATTTTTGTAGATGGAACGAGAGACGCTAGCTCTTTAGAGCAGTGCCCATTATAGTATTTGTAGAAAAGAGAAAGAGAAGCAACATTACGACGATGTGACAGAGGTTGAAGGTTGGCTGCAAGAGTAGGTCCAACTATGTACATTAATAATCTGTTTAAAATTAAAAGTCATTTTTCAAATGTTTCTTTTTCTAAACAACATTAATAACAATTTTTTAATTTCAATTTTCATAATAAATTTTATCATCATTATCATAACAAGTTTTAAACTTTAAAACATTTTTCGGTCTTTTAAGTAATTAAAATCTCATAACTTTTTTGACCAAAGAATATGGTTGTCTCATCTATCTCAAAAGATATGGTTGTCTCATCTATCTCAAAGGATGTGGCTGTCTAGTTAATAAAGCCACTTTAGGAGTAAGATTATTGGAAAGAATAAGAATGTTAATATAGATCAGAAATAACACAGGGGTGAAGACAATCTGGCGTTCATCCAAGACAGAAAATAATGTAGTGCAGATTTAAATCTGCCTATCAATGAAGTGTAATGACAGTCCTACAAAAATTTTCTGCTCAACTCTAAAGTTTTTTCCCAGGAAATTTTCTATAAAGCAGTAGCCAGATGTTAACATCTACCAAGACAAATATTTTTCATCAAGTCACCATCTCTAGATTCTGACCTGTTATTTAGTTTTACTTTATTGGCTTGTAATATTATGTTTTACAATATTGATTATTCTTATAATTGGTTAATAAATTGGTATCAGTATTATCTGCCTTATTTTGTCCATATGTATCGGAATTGGCCAAAAATGTTTAATTGGTACATCACTAGTATGTATGTATTTATGTATGTATTTATGTATGTATTTATGTATGTATTTACGTATGTATGTATATATGTATGTATGTATGTATGTATGTATGTATGTATGTATGTATGTATGTATGTATGTATGTATGTATGTATGTATGTATGTATGTATGTATGTAATTGAAAAGTATAACAACTTATGAATTAAAATAGATATGTATGTCAGGTCTTGTTATGAGATTTTGTTGCGTAACGGAAAAGCACAACGCGAATAAATGTAACTTTACTCAATAAAGATATTTACTTCATTAAAAGTTTAATTACGTCAGTTGCGTATTTTAAAGTATCTTATTGTAATTAAATTTAAAACCACTTTAAAAATTGTTGTCTTTGAAATGAAATATCTTTAAATTAAACTATTGTTATAAAAAAATATATAAATAAAATTTAAATGTTGATTAAAAAAAAGTTTCTTTATTTTAAAATCTTATACTTATATAAACTTAATTTTTTTTTTCTTTAAAACATTCGTTTTATGGTTGTTTTTTTTTTTTTAATTTAACGATATTTTAATGAATATAATTTTAGTATTATTTTAAAACAGTATAATTTTGAATTAATTTTAATGATATTTTAATAAATACTTGTTTATGGTTGATTTTTTTAAAAGAGATTACAATTAGATTGGGTTTTTCCCCTTTATAAAAAATGCATGCTTACCTTTTGCTTTTGCTACATAGTAAATTGCTTGAATTTTTTATATATTGATCAGAATTTAGAGAAAACCTTATAGGGAAAAAAAAAAATTTCAAAAATGTTTTGTTCACTCGGAATCTGGGCTTAAATTTTTGAGATTTTTTTTTTAATTTTTTGAAATTGTCACAATTTATTTTACCATAAAAATTTCTTAACTTTATTTTAACGATCTTTAAAATTTGCATAAATAGAGTAGATATTTTATCATAACAATGATAAAATATCTACTCTATTTATGCAAATTTTAAAGATCGTTGTTTGTGGCAACCCCCCACTAACTAGTTTCTCCACAATCGTGATACCGGCGATTCTTTGTTTCATTCAATCACCACAAGTTATTTGGTTATGATGTAAATTTAAATAATTCATTTCTGATTATATTGTTTTTATTATTATTTATTTCAATTGTTATGATTTCTATATCATAGTCAGAAACGCTTAAATTCTTTCTTAACATAATGTGCAATTTTTTCTGCAATGCTAATTGCTAATTTTGGATGATAAAAATTTTATTGTGAGCGAAAACCGATCCGAATCCCTCATCTGTGTGTCCCAAAAAATATCTCTTCGTACTTAATCATTTTTAACACTTTGTACCTTAAATTTTAATTTAATATCTAAAGATCACATGAGTTTTTTTTTATTATTATGTTAGGATCAGGTTGTATTGACAGTTGGATATGTTTACATTTTTACAAAACTTAGCGCCTCTGCCGTATTGACTCATTTTGTAAGTATACTATAACATTTTTTTTCAATTTCAAGCCTTAATATATGAATAGGCCTTAGGTATCACATAACTTTCTTAGCATTTTTAGATTTAATACCTTTGATTCTTTCAAATCCTAAAAGAAAAATTGTGTGCAACGCTTCGCCGCTAGAAATAGCTCTCATTAAAAATTGACAAAACTGAATGTTTTTGTAGTTTTGAACTATGATAATTAGTCAACCACACCGTGTCACAACTTTTTTATATTTTTTGGAAAGAGCTTTTGGGTTAAGTCTGATATTAACTACAAAAGCTATGTGCATCTTTTTACAAAAGCTATGTGCATCTTAAATTTTTGAGATTTTTTTTAATTTTTTTTTCAAAAAATTAAAAAAAATCTCAAAAATTTAAGCCCAGATTCCGAGTAAACAAAGCATTTTTGAACATTTTTTTTTTCCCCAAAAGATTTTCTCTATATTCTGATCAATATATAAAATTTAAAAAATTCGGAGGAGGTCACTTCCACAGTTTCAGGAATTTGCCTGATTCTTAGGAAAAACGGCTCTTAAGTTTTCAATACAATATGTTGAGGGAGTTTTGATACTCTCGTAATTAAATATATTTATACTTGATAACGTTATCAAGTAAATTTATTTTTGATAATGAGGGCATCTAAAATCCCTTGAAATACTATTTTGAAGAATTATTAATAGAGTTATATCCATAGAAGTTTTTATTTATTTATAAAAAAAATAAACTTTATAAGATGTCATTTAAAGTTTGCAATAATTATTGTTTTTTCCTTTTTTTTGTGAAAAAAATAATTATTATAACATAACAAACAAACAAACAAAATTAGAATATCAAAAGTGGTGCAAAATAAAATTTATTAGTTTTTTAGCTAAGATTTTTATTTTTTGTTATGAGTAATTGTCTAAAAATAAATATTCTTGATGATGATAAAGAAAAGTTTTTTTCTTAAATTTCTTTTATGATTCCTTTTTTATGTCATACAAAAGCTAGGTCGATAAAAAAATAAAATTTCTTTGTTTTATATTAAATGTAATTTTCATTTAAACTTTTTTACATTCATCATTTACTTCATAAGTGGTTTTTATAAAGTTAATTACTTCTTTTATCTTACTGGGTGACCAAGCAACTGCGTTATGCTCAAATTTAAGGCTCTATCCATCTTGTAGATATCCGTGGATCTATTTGTTTACAAATTACACAATGATATCAACACAGAAATAAAAAAACTTAAAAATTAAAAAAATTTAATTAAAATGGATCTGCAAGAATCAAAAAGACGAAGCATTCTGCAAATGTTGCAATCGGATAAGACTACATCAGATATTAGAAAGGCTTTAAACTGCTCCAGAACAGCAATTTTTCGAGTAAGAAAACTTTTTCATGAAACAGGAGATTATCAAACGACGTTTTAATAACCCAAAACTTGTGAAGCGATCACCTCAGCTTTTAAGGTCTGTCAAAAGAAAAGTCAAGCGAAATCCATTGCGCTCCATAAGCCAGTTGGCAAGGGAAGCTAATGTTGCCGGGTAATACAGTTGCGTGGTCACCCGGTACCGCTTAAATGATATATTTAGACAGATATATTTTAAGTTGCATTTTTATAATCATTGTCCTACGTCTTTGGTAAGTTTAGATATATTTAGTTTAAATATTAAAAGTTGATAAAAGGAAGGCTAGACTGAAAATGGCTTATTGCTTAAGTTAAATGGTTCAACGCATACATAAATGGCGTGCCACTTTACACTTTACACAAAACAAGGCCTGTATATATGTGTGTATTTATGTATGTTTTATCTATTTAGGGTTCAGCTATATCATATAAATCTTGTATTTTAGTATTATTCCTGTTTTGTACCATGACACCTTTTTTTATTGGTTTTTGGAATATTTTTGGCTACTTGAAGTTTATGTTTTGCTTCTTTGTATTTATAGTAAACGTTTTCCTGACATTTTATTGGTCAACCAAAAAAATTCATTCATTTAAATTACACAGTTTTTTGCAGACATTTTTTTGATTTTATTGTCTCCATTTTCTTTAAAGTCATGAATTGCAATAAGTGTGCAACAAATTTCAAAAAACTACAAAATAATCATAAAAGAATTTTTTTTTTATTGTTATTAACTTTAGGTTTCTTATATTTAGATTATTTATCATTAAAGTTGAAAAAACTACTTTTGAATTTCTTTAGAAAGTGTTTTATTATTTATGTTCTTATTATGTAGCTATTTTGAAGATATTATAAATTTATGAAAAATTGAATTCCTACTTGAATTTGAGAGTAGTTTTTAAATCTGGCTTGGATATATTTTGATAATATCTGTAAATGATTAATTAATACAGCTTCTTTAAATAAATTTCTCCCTTTGGAAATTAAGCTAAAGTTCATTTATTATAATGTATTTACAAAAAGAACTTTTGTTTTTTAGATTGGCTTGTTTTCAAAAATTAGTCTTGCTCAAAATCCTAATATAGCTGCACTTTGTGAAGATGGTGAAACAATTGATGACCTTATGAAACTTACAACAGAGGAGTTGCTGTTACGTTGGGTTAATTATCATTTGGCAAAGTCAGGTTCTGCCAAAAGAATTAAGAACTTTTCTGGAGATATAAAGGTTTTAGTTTTTTGTTATTTTTGTTATATTAACAATTTATAGTTGTTTATGGTATTGTTATTACCTATAATTTAATGAAGCTTTTTATAAGTTAAGAGTACAGGGGAAAATATGGTCACATTATATTAGTTCCAAGACAAGGTTTTCAAAACTGCTTTTTAAAAATTTGAAGTTTCAAAACTGTTTTTTAAATACTATTTGATTACTAAGTAACTTTTTTAAAAATAAATTCACAATAATATCTATTTTATTAAGGTATTTAGAATAAATATCTATTGTTTGAAAAGTACAAGTTTTATCAATCAATATTTTGTGGTTGGGTCAAAATGGACTATGATCTTTTTTCCATTGTAAAACGATTGCAAAATCTTTATTTTTCACTTATATTTAATGTTATAATAAAAATATTTTTTTGCATTTTTTTTAATACCAAATGTATGTTTCAAGTTTATAGTAGATAATGCAGAAGCTGAAATTCATGCAGATTTTTTGAAAATTATACAGCTGTCTGTAAATTGTAATAAAGCAAAAAATAAACAACAAAAAGTAATAATATAAACCAGAAAAAAAATCAATATAAAGAAATAATATTCAAAAAAATAAAACAAATAACACAAAAAAAGAGTGAATGAGCTTACATGAGAGATAACGCATGAACGCACAATGTTTAACAATTAGTGAGCTTACATGAGAGATAACGCATGAACGCACAATGTTTAACAATTAGTGAGCTTACATGAGAGATAACGCATGAACGCACAATGTTTAACAATTAGAAGGATGATAGAAAACAAAAGGATATATTTAAATATTATGATGAGTCAAATAAATTAAAATCACTTGAATAATAGCAACAAATATAAAAATTAACAATAATAAAAATAATTAGTAACAATACCACAAAAAAAACAACAATACATTATAGTGAGATAACTGTGAGACTAATGATTAATGTTTTAAAACAAAAAACAGAGTTACTAACAAAATGTGATAGAGGATCATACAGGAAAAGGTATTTAAAAGCTCATATTTAAAAGCTCAATAGAAAAAAAAATTGTTTCAAAACAAAAATTATAGTAATTAAAAAACAGAAACCTTTTTTCGTGATTTGTTCCATATTGTGAAATTATTCACAGACGCAAATTATTTATCAATGTAAATGATTAGTAGTGAAATAATAGTTGAATTATGACGAAAATGACAAAATTTTTTATCACAGTTACTCTTTCCAAGAGTAACTGTGATAAAAAATAGCAAACAGAAATTACTTTTTAAAAGTACACATTTGCATAGGCCATTTTAAACATTAGTGAATTAGCTCCATTTGAAATAAGTACGTATATATTATAGTATATTATGTATTTGAAATTACCTAGTATGAGGTAATTTCAAATATATTATATACTTTAAAAGTATAAATATATAATATACTATAAAAGTATAGTATATTATATATAAATATATAATATACTATAAAATAAACAGCAAAAAAATATATTTTATTCAAACAAGATAATTTTTCAGTAAAAAACTTTATATTTATATAAAATCATTCTGGTCATCATTGTTATCATCATATGTTAGTGAATAAAAAAAATAGTTTCGTTTGTCAACTTTTTAAGTGCATGAAGATCTTTAAATTTATCCATTGATATACATAGTCTCTCAGTATACAAGTTTGAAGGGTTTTTTAATAATGACAGTTTTTTTTACTTCCTACATTTCTACCAATAAATGCGTTTAAATATACACCATTCCAAGAGTCTCTATAAGACATTTCCAGGAGAGTTAACAGAAAAAAAGCACTTCTCAAAGAGGTCTTGTAGCTACAGGACACCTAGTTTTGTGGTGAGGATTTAAGAAATAAGTCATATTTTTGAACATATCCTGCTTACATTCAAGTACATGGAAAGGAGTTGGTTTTTTACAAGCATTTTTAAATACATTAACCCAATCAGAAGGTAAATTGACTCAAGATTTGCAGTTAATGAGACCCATATCTTTGTCACACTCCAAGTAGGAATGACTTCTCTTAGGAAAGGTAACTTTAACGGAGTCAAATCTTTTTTGATGTTGAACCATGTAAGCCATAAACCTTAAGCGGGTATAATTTTTATTTTGACCAGCACAAGAATCACAGAACAAATCTTTGTTTTTTACTAATGGATAATGATGAATAAAAAAATCATACAGCATTGAGGTCACTTCATCTGCACCCTTTTTAGCAACAGTTTTATTATAACAATAGATAAAAACATCTTTTCTAGCCAACAAATAAATGTTAAAAAATTTTTCTTTTATAATAAAAATCATTGCTAGAGTTGTTTGACACAAAATTTTTTAGATAGTCAAAAGCAATGGCTTTAAAACTTTGCTCTCTCAACGCTTTTAACCTTGATTCTTGTTTTCTTTTGTAAAAAGTTTCATATTTTTATTTGGTTTGGTTCAGGATTAGTTGAGATATCTTTTGAAGAAATATCAATTCTTATTTTCAGTTCGTCGCACTTTAAACATGTATCGGTTTGAGGATAACCAAATGCAATATTAAACTTGTTGTTAAATAATGTCCTATAAGGTTCATAACAAATTTTTACATTTGGGTTAAGAATCATAAACATGTTAGACATTTTATTTATATTTAGTTTTTCAGGCAAATAAATACGTCGAGTTTTTTCTTGAGAATAGTAAGACTGCCTTCCTTTGATTGATGAAATAAGGTTTATTATTTAATTATGTACATCATCTGTAATTTTATGCGGTCTTGTAGAATGTTTTTCTCATATTATTCTCTATTGGTGGTCCACCTAAAATTATTGTGTTAAATTTATCAATTTATTTATTAAATCGTGTTGTAAATATATTCTAAACTATTATTTTTAAACCATGTCTTTTTTAACTATCATAACTATTATGCTTCTTTATAAAATTCCTATAATATAAAACAATATACCTGTAATTCATAGACTTCTTTTTATTGTTTCTAATCTACCTTTTTTAATCCCAAATATAGAAAGCAATACTTTGAAACAAACTTGAACAAATCGACAGTTAATGTTATTAACTTACAATTTGTATTTGTAGCTAAAACTATTATTTCTACTTGGCTTAGATTGATGTGGTCTTTTTCTATTTATGTTATTTATCGTTATAAGTCCTGCTAGAAATAAATCTTGCATTTCTTTGTTCGCATTAATGATTTTAATAAAGAAACTCTGTTCATTAATCATTAAATTCTTTATTAAATCATTAAATTCTTTATTAAAATCATTAAATGATTTTAATAAAGAAACTCTGTTTTCCTCATTTACAACTTCAAAGCATTTAAATATGATGCAGTTACAGTTTAGACCTTATGAGGTATCTTTTTTTTGCTTTATTAGTAACTTCAATAAGTTCATCATAGTCACCCATCTTTATCAAGTTGTTTATTTTTTAAACAAGCCATTGGATACCAAGATCAAGTGATTATGAATATTTCAAGGATATGCGACTTTGCTGTTTTTCACATTGTACCTGGTTTTTTCTTTTTCATTTTTCTTATGGAAAGAATCTTTTTTATCTTGATTTATCACTCAAGATATAGTTCAAAAGGTAATCTATGAGACCAGCATAATGCCTTCAAAAAATTGAAAAAGGGACTGCCATTTTTTCCCCTGGACTGTTCAAGTATTTTGCTTAAAAAATTTCTTTTTTTTTTTCAAGAGAATAATGAAATTATAGATATATAAGAATAAGAAGAATAATGAAGTTATAAAGTTTAGATATAAAACTAGAGCAATCACATAATCAAAAAAATATTATAATGAAAGGTCTATCAAAACAAAAAAATTCAATATGGGCAGTTTTAAAATTTTTTTGCATAGTGAACACACCTAATATATGTCGTAGTACTTTTTGTCGTAATTTTTGAAGTGATAAAGTAAGAGCAGTAAAAATTTTGCCATTTAATTTGTTTGAATAAGTTTCTGATTCTGATGCTCTTAATGCCATGAACTTGCCAGTTGATAGATTTTTACTGCGAATTGCATCAAAGGTAATCTAACAACTTCATTTTTTTCTAATTACAAGTAATTTAGAATTTAAATATTAAAAAAAAAACCTTTTGAACCATAAATATCTCCAAGGAAAAAAAACTATAATTTTAAAAATCTTCTGTAGTATAAGTATCCGCATTTGTAGTATATTTGAAAATAATACACTAATTCTAACAGCTAACTAATTCTTACTAGCTGATGAACTACTCTAATCTATTTATTATCTATTCTTAGTAAATACTTTTAATTTTTTAGAATAAAAAAATGAAAATATCTTTAATAATCATAATAAATAAAGTTTATGTTATTTTGACCTGCGTTCTATCTTCTGTGTTTTATCTTCTGTGTTTTATCTTTTGTGTTCTATCTTCTGTGTTTTCTTGTTTACCTTTTGATAAAATTAGAAAATGATAAAAAAAGGTTCCAAGCTTAGTTAAACCTAAGCCAAGCTGTTTATTATTAACCTTAGTTAAACTTGAGCCAAACTATTTATTATTAACTGTAGACTTTTGAGCTTTAATAAGTTTAAAAAGTTTCGATAAAACATGAAATAAGTAAGTTAAAATGAAGTTTGTTTTAATATTTGTGCACCACTTTATTTTATTATGTTTAGGTTTTAATATTTGTATACAATTTTATTCAAATATTGTAAATAATTTTATTATGTTTAGGATTCTGAAGCGTATGCTATTTTACTTAATCAAATTGCTCCTGGAGAAGCTCATGTGGATCGTCCTGAGCATATTATAAGTGTATGATTTTTTTAATAAAATTTTTAATTTTTAAATAAATGATATTGTTATTATATATAAAGTATGATACATTAAATATATAAGATTTTTTCTATATTAGAATAATATATAAGAAAAATATTATGTTAGATAAAATATAAAATATATATTTTTAAACTTTTTAAGACCTCGAATTATTGTCCAACGGTTTGCTTACTATTTTCAGCACTTTGAGCATTAATTAACAAACTTCTGATCATTCAATTAATATAGATTTTAAATGAATTTACTCCTTTCTAATTCTAGCATTAAAGCTGTTTTTGATGGACAACATTCTCCTATATTTTTAGTAACTTCTTATGTAACACAAGGTTCTATCTTTTATCTTATCTTGTTTCTGGTTCATATTAATGGTCTTCTTGACAGTCTTAGCTCTAAAGATCTATCTGGTGATAATTCAACCTTATACTCTAGTCTTAACACTTTTTGATTGCTGAAAACAGTCTTAAATTTTAATCAAAACAAAAAAAGTTAAATTTTAATCAAAACAAAAAGTTGTTTAATAATAATTACTACATGTTTAGACAATATTAAAATGTGCTGAAAAGAAGTAGTTGGAAAAATGTGAACCAGTAAAATGCTAACTTTTTAGCGAACCAAAACATATTTTAATGACCTCTATAGTTATATAAAAAATATATTTAAATGCTTGCTCTTCAATTCTTTCAAATTAAAATAATGGAATATTATTAAATATAATAAAATTAAATATAATAAATAAGTAAATTTATGCTTCTCAAGTACATTGATAGCCTACATTACTTCATTCATGCTTGGTTTTGTAGGATTGTCAGAAACATCAACCTTGGATAGAAATAGAGTGCAATTGCATGCTATTCCTGACCACATATAATATATATATCTTTTTAACAAATTGGTCACAGCTATTTAGATGTTTAGACAATTTAAACATTTAGAAAATGCACCGAAAAAATTAAAAATAAAATTAAAAACAAACATCAAAATTTCTACTAAATCTTTATTTGTGATGTTAAAATCTTTTTTAACAGGTAAAATGATCATGTTGAGTAAGTAGCATGATTTTTGCAAAACCATACTGTGCAGTTCTGAAAGTAACTTTTTTTGAAAGATATTTATAAGACTTCAATTTAATGATTCTAATTGAATTGATATCCACCGCAATATCTTTATATACAATATCTTTTGTGCATCTATCACTAAACGTGCATTCTGTAAGGGGTATTATGCTCAAAAATATTTACATAGCATTTAAAGTTTAAATGCAATATTAATTTAAATGTACAATACTGATTAAATATCAAGTGGCAGATTGGATTTTTAAAGTTTATTTTTAATCTTTTTTTTTTATATTGTTATCTTATCACTGATATTCTTGAAACATTTATTATTTCTTGAAATAGATTTTAAAGGTTTGGTCTGGAACGGAATTTTATGCTTTTGTTTTGTCTTGAACAATCAAAAAGTTCAGCTACAAAAAATATTTTTTACTTTTTTAAAACATTTTGAAGACTTTGATTTTCCAATTACTAACATTGAAAGTTTTTCTCCTTTTGAGTGAATTACTAGCATTGGAAGTTTTTCTCCTTTTGAGTGAATTACTAACATTGAAAGTTTTTCTCCTTTTGAGTGAATTTTGAATTTCAAAAATTGCTCAAAACTTGAAAAAACAAAAAGGCAAATTTTATATTAATACAAAATGCATAAATTGAGAGTACTAATTTATACTTCATTAATGTTTGATAATTTTTGCTAAGGTTGCTTCAACTTTATTGTAAAATATTTACTTTTAATGGGTTAATTCAAAATACAATAGCTTGAGATATATTGACACAAATCCCATGTAATTTATCAATAATTATTGTTGTTTTTCTATATTAATTTAAAAATTTTCATGCCTAATGAGTAAAAATGTTTTAAAGAAGAATTATAAAGTCTATTATTATTTTTTTATTTTTTATCATTACATGTTTATTATTTTCATATCTAAAAAATAATAAACATTTGCTGAAAGTTTGAAGTGATTAATCACAAGATATTGTGTTTTCAATAAAGCTATACTTTGCAACATTTAAAAACAGAAAAATGCAGAATAAGAAAATACAAATAAAATCTTAAAATCAAGCATTAATTTAATTTGTAGACTACTCGACAAATTAAGCTATATTTAGTTTGTTTTTTTATGTTTTTTTTTCAGAAAGTAAAATCCTGAGTAATAATTTAAAATGAAAAATCTGTTTAATCTTGTGATTTAATAATTGCAAAACATCGCAGAATTTATTTTATGGATGTCTTGCATTGCTAAGGTGATTGTCATAAAAGTAAATTGCTAAGGTGATTGTCATAAAAGTAAATTGCTAAGGTGATTGTCATAAAAGTAAATTGCTAAGGTGATTGTCATAAAAGTAAATTGCTAAGGTGATTGTCATAAAAGTAAATTGCTAAGGTGATTGTCATAAAAGTAAATTGCTAAGGTGATTGTCATAAAAGTAAATTGCTAAGGTGATTGTCATAAAAGTAAATTGCTAAGGTGATTGTCATAAAAGTAAATTGCTAAGGTGATTGTCATAAAAGTAAATTGCTAAGGTGATTGTCATAAAAGTAAATTGCTAAGGTGATTGTCATAAAAGTAAATTGCTAAGGTGATTGTCATAAAAGTAAATTGCTAAGGTGATTGTCATAAAAGTAAATTGCTAAGGTGATTGTCATAAAAGTAAATTGCGAAGGTGATTGTCATAAAAGTAAATTGCTAAGGTGATTGTCATAAAAGTAAATTGCTAAGGTGATTGTCATAAAAGTAAATTGCTAAGGTGATTGTCATAAAAGTAAATTGCTAAGGTGATTGTCATAAAAGTAAATTGCTAAGGTGATTGTCATAAAAGTAAATTGCGAAGGTGATTGTCATAAAAGTAAATTGCGAAGGTGATTGTCATAAAAGTAAATTGCTAAGGTGATTGTCATAAAAGTAAATTGCTAAGGTGATTGTCATAAAAGTAAATTGCTAAGGTGATTGTCATAAAAGTAAATTGCTAAGGTGATTGTCATAAAAGTAAATTGCTAAGGTGATTGTCATAAAAGTAAATTGCTAAGGTGATTGTCATAAAAGTAAATTGCTAAGGTGATTGTCATAAAAGTAAATTGCTAAGGTGATTGTCATAAAAGTAAATTGCTAAGGTGATTGTCATAAAAGTAAATTGCTAAGGTGATTGTCATAAAAGTAAATTGCTAAGGTGATTGTCATAAAAGTAAATTGCTAAGGTGATTGTCATAAAAGTAAAATGGTAATCATAAGAGTTTTTTAAGGAAATTATATGCTAACTTTAACTTTTTATTTATTCGAGTTATGGAGGTTTTTAAATTAAGAAGATTTGAATTAAAGAGATTGGTAATATACACTTATTTTAGCAGATGTGTGCAGACTTTTATTTTAGTAGGTGTGTGCAGACTTTTATTTTAGCAGATGTGTGCAGACTTTTAGAAATTTTTTTTAGAAAAAAGTCTTTTTTGTTGTAAATTCTTAATTTCTGAATTTCATAATATAACCAAGTTAATAAAGCAATGCGGTCTGTGTTGAACGCTTGAGTAAACTTGACTATTGTAATAACGTTTTTTTTTTGTTTTTTTTTTGTTTTTTGTTTTTTTTAAAAAGTTAATTTGAAGAAGCTTGAATATTTTGTAACAAAATCTAGATAAGGAAAAATAAGTTAAGCTAAGCTTAAAAAGTTATTTCAAAAATTAAAATAACTATTTTAAGCTTTCTATTAAAAATTGTTCTGTATTATTTTATTGGTATTTTAAAAATTTCCAGCACACTGGTATGTATTCTGGTAGTACCACGCTCAACTTGTTTCAGAGTTAAAAAAACAAAAAAATAATCCTACTAAATAACAGATTTCTTTAATTGTGCTAATTTAAAATATGATTCTTTGCAATAGGGCTTCCATTGAATGCTTGTGGGAATGTTTGAGGATGCAATGGGATGCTTGCATTTGATAATCAATTTTAAATTAAACTTTTGTCTTTTCATAAGACATTTATAATAACAGTTCAAATAAAAATTGGTTTATGATTTCATTTTCTATTTTTAATTTCATTTTTCTATTTTCTTTTCATGTACTATTTTAAATTTGTTTAGTCATCTGATCACACAAAAAGAGCAGAAATGTTGTTAAGGAATGCAGACAAAATTAACTGCAGAAAGTTTCTTACTGCAAAGGTATCTTTAATTAACTTTGTTTTTATTCATATTAACATAAAAAAAAATAAAAAAAGATTTTTTTTTTAATTATTAAATTTTTATTGTTTTAATAATTTTTTAATCTCTTTCAAACCAGGATATTGTAAGTGGAAACAGCAAACTAAATCTTGCATTTGTTGCTCATTTGTTTAACACTCATCCTGCTCTTGATGCTTCTGACATGAATTTTGAAATTTATGTGGAATCAAGAGAAGAGAAAAGTAATGATTTAACAACTAAAACTTTTTTTTATGTATTATTAGTAGTGTGTAACTGTCTGTATGTATATATATATATATATATATATATATATATATATATATATATATATATATATATATATATATATATATATATATATATATATATATATATATATATATATATATATATATATATATAGAGAGAGAGAGAGAGAGAGAGAGAGAGAGAGAGAGAAGCTTCAGTGAGAGTAAATGAGTGTGAAAGCAGTGAAAAGCTTGAACTGCTTCTCTAAACAGCTTTTAAGAGAGCTTAGGATTAGGATCCATTGCAACTGAGGTAATGGCAAGAAAGAGTTGCAGCAATTTTTTAATAACAAAATATGAAAGTATATGCAAATATTTAACTTATAAAAACTTCAAATTATTTAATGGTAAAACATACAGTAGGCGACCAAATTATTTATTACAAATATTATCATATTAACCATTATAAGCGCTTTTACGTATTCTTATGTTTAATTTTTGTATAAATATTAGCACTACCAGCTTAAATTTTCTTTAAAAACTAAAACACTATTTTAAACACTATTTTTAAGCATTTATTTAAGAAAACTCATAATAAAAAATGTTTTTTAGTATTTGTTTGGGCTTCCTTTTGCATCAATTTCTGCTTGTATCCTTCTTGATATACTTTGGATGCAACTGTTTATGTTTGCTTTTAATTTATAATCATTATGCCAGGCATTATTTAGTGCCTATATGAGATTTTTTTTGTTGGTTGTGCTCAATTATCCGGTTTAAAAGTTATTTAAAAATGTAGAAACAAATTTATTCATTTAAATCCATATCTAATTGTTATTTTTTGTGAAAAAACAAAATGTAACTACTAATTTGGCTAGTCACTGTATATCAAGTTTTACAGTTTTACTTTTACTTAAAAATTGCATTGCTGCAATATATCCTTAATTTTGATTTTGTAGCATTTATTTGCTGTAGTTAGCTTAATTTTGATTTTATAGCATTTATTTGCTGTGGTTAGCTTAATTTTGATTTTATAGCATTTATTTGCTTTGGATAGCTTAATTTTGATTTTATAGCATTTATTTGCTGTGGTTAGCTTAATTTTGATTTTATAGCATTTATTTGCTTTGGATAGCTTAATTTTGATTTTATAGCATTTATTTGCTGTGGTTAGCTTAATTTTGATTTTATAGCATTTATTTGCTGTGGTTAGCTTAATTTTGATTTTATAGCATTTATTTGCTGTGGATAGCTTAATTTTAATTTTATAGCATTTATTTGCTGTGATTAGCTTAATTTTGGTTTTATAGCATTTATTTGCTGTGGTTAGCTTAGGTTCATGGAACATCTTTTCAGCATAGACTCAATGAGTTAAATAATTTCTTATGGTTTTATCTTATTCTAGGTGGCTTTAAAGCTTTAAATATTTAAAGCTTTTAATAGCTTTAAAGAGTTCATCAATGTTTTTGAAGAATCCTTTATGTTTTAGGGAAAGTTCAACTTTGTAACATAAATTTTCAATTGGATTGAGCTTCATTGTTTTAATTTTATTCTTTTTAAACTTTGTTACTAACTATTGGTTTTGGATCATTGTCTTGTTGAAATATCCATCAAAGAATGTTATTATCAGGAACCATTTTTTCTATGAGAATATCACAATAAACAAATTACTTTGAAAGTACTTAGTACTTTCAAATTGCCATCAGAACCTTTCAAATTGAACTTTGATTCATCGCTTTATAATTCTCTTTTCTAATCATTAATAGTCCAGTTCTAGTTTATTGATTCTTGGAGAAACGAAATAATTTTTTGCTGCTTTAAAGCTCAAAAGTTCTGAAAGATGTAAACACTGCAAATTGTATTTTGAGACTGAAAGTATCAATTTTTGAATGATATCATTAGTGCTGTCAAAAGGATTCTTTTTGGTATGATAAGTAATTTTTCTGTCCGTGAAACAACATGCTTTGCATGGTCTCTTGCCCTTATGTTCCATTTCTAAAGGATTAATCAATTTATAAATGGAGTACTTGGTGGCAATTTATTTTTGTTTGACTCCTTTTTTATAATCTTTTATAGTTTATTTTCTAAACGCTAAATTATTCTTGTTTCCTGCTATTATAAACCAAAACAGCGGAAATTTGTGAGCTCATTTTCTAATATTGTAACAATTTCAATACTACAGTATTCTGTAGCAATTATTACTCTCTGGACTATCATTATCAATTTGTTGAACTCTTATTGTTGTTAACTCTTATTGGTTAAGTATTAATGATTACAACATTAAATTTTTTTTTCTTATATGTATAAATTTTTTTTTATATATGTAATTATTTTTGTCATTTAAAGAGACTTTTTTTTTTTTAGAAAAGTTTTTAGTAATTCAGTAATTGACAGTAAAAAATTTTTCTTTGAAAACTTCCTACTTTTGAGCAAAAAAACGTAATTGTTAATTCCTTCTTGTAGCTTGTTAAGATTGAATTTGTTTAAAAAAAGTGATTTTAACATTTAACATAAAAAGCCTCTCTTTTATTATAAAGTTTCTGAGCAGTGATATAATATTTGTAAAACAGTATATTAGCTTGCGGTTGTGAGTTTTGTAAAACAGTTTTATACTTTTTCAAACTTTAGTATAATAGCTTGCGGTAGTGAGTTTTGTAAAACAGTTTTATACTTTTTCAAGCTTTAGTATAATAGCTTGCGGTTGCGAGTTTTGTAAAACAGTTTTGTACTTTTTCAAACTTTAGTATAATAGCTTGCGGTGGTGAGTTTTGTAAAACAGTTTTATACTTTTTCAAACTTTAGTATAATAGCTTGCGGTGGTGAGTTTTGTAAAACAGTTTTATACTTTTTCAAGCTTTAGTATAATAGCTTGCGCGAGTCTTAGTCTTAGTTTTAGTCAATGCTTTTTCAAAACATATTCAAGATGGCCTAAGCACAGTCAAATAATATATATATATATATATAAATATATATATATATATATATATATATATATATATATATATATATAAATATATATATATATATATATATATATATATATATATATATATATATATATATATATATATATATATATAAATATATATATATATATATATATATATTTATATATATATATATATATATATATATATATATATATATATATATATATATATATATATATATATATATACAAACTTTTTTTATATTGCTGCGTCTTAATTTATGCTTCTTTTTTTAATCCTTTCATGCACCAGGATGTTTGATAATTAATAGAATCAGTTTTACCAATGCAAGCAGTACATCTTTCAAATGCAAGTTGTGAATCAATTGGTTCAAAATATTATTTTTAAAGGATTATAAAGTTAATTGGATTGAAAAATAAAATCTACTTTGCTATTTTGTAGTACAACTGACATTTTAAAGATTTTATTGGTGATTCTGGAAAATGTCTGGGAAAATAATAAGTGTACAAAAAGGTTAATTGGTTTAGCATTAAGTTACCTCTGTTCCATATAAAATCATGTGAAATTTATGTATTTAGTTCTAAGTTGAGATTCGTGAGTAAAATATTTAAATATTTAAATACATTTGTTAAGTGTTAGTTCATGAAGTGATAGGTTAGTTTTAGTTCATGAATTGATAGGTTATTTTAGTTTGTGGTTGGTTACTTTTAGTCAGGGATGCTAAGTCCTATCAATTTTCATGGATTCTGGATTCCAGGCTCCTAGGACTGCGGAATCCGAAGTTTTATTATAATAGTTTTTTCAATCAATTCAATCAATTAACCTGAGTTTTTAGGAATAAAATAGTCTCTGAAATGATAGAATAAACTCTCTCTCTCTCTCTCTCTCTCTCTCTCTCTCTCTCTCTATATATATATATATATATATATATATATATATATATATATATATATATATATATATATATATATATATATATATATATATATATTTATATATATATATATATTTATATATATTTTTATTCAACCATATCAATAAAATTTACAAATTTCATCGTAAATTAATATAAATTGGTTAGGTGTCGCTCATATAGTTACAAACTAGTCAATGGAGTGACACCTAAAAAAACAAAAAAATTTCACACAAAAAATAAATAAATAAATAGAAAAAAAAAAAAAAAAAAAAAAAAAAAAAAAAAAAAAAAAAAAAAAAAGGATAAACTCAACATCTGTATATATAAGAGAGAAAAGAAGAAAAGATTGTTAAACAAATTATAATGATATATGTAATAATAATAGTAGTAATACAAAATAATAGCAATAATAATAAAGTACCAATAATATTAAGAATATTATAATACAATATAAATTGTATGCACAAATCATAGATGATAATTAGATATAATAATAACATAAAATGTAACATTAATAACACAATAATAAATAAATATTAGATAGGTAAATAATAAATAAAGTAAAAAACAAACCACTTGTTCGTTAAAGAGATTATATATTGAAGACAACTACAGTACAGAGAGAAATTATAAAGAAATACACTCCAACAATATATTTTTAAATTGAATTCTGTTGAGCAGTAAAAAATTCGTAACAAGTGGATATTTTTTCTTAGACTTTTTTATTAATGCAGGAATACACTGGTTCCATTGAGAAATACATTGTTGTTTTATAGAAAACTTACCATATTTGATTGTGTTGAAAAAAGAATAGTATAGCCTACTATTTTCTGTATTCCTGGTGTGATGATTATGAGCTTTGTTTGTTTTAATAAAAAATTTGAAAAAGGGCTTGGTAGTTTATTTTGGAGAAAGTCAAGCACAAAAAGACAATTGTAAAACTTTACAAAATTATGTAGTTTTAGGATTTTTAGTTCAGAAATTTTTTTTTTCAATATCAGATCTCATTTGGGAAAACGTCATTATTCTAATAGATGCGCGTTGTAAACTAGCAATGTTATTAAGTAAAAAGTTTCTTTTTTGACCCCAAACAATACAACAATAGCAAAGGTGAGAAGAGAATAAAGAAA